AGGAATGGAGCGAGACCATGCCCTCGAAACACATGGGTTCACCAGTGGATTAACGGCGTTATCCCGGTCGAGGGCTTTTGTCGCGATTGCCGCGGAGAAGGACTGGAAGGAAACGATGTCGTTGAGAGACCAGAGCGAGGTCATAGACAGCGGCGAAGAGGACGAGAGCATCGACAGGAGGAGCCTGAGCTGTCTGATCAAATGGAGGGAGTTTGAGAAAATGGGAGTTGACTAGTGATGGTAGCTGTGATGTTGAGGCTGTCAAAACTTACTTTCAGCGTTGCTCAAAAAGGCAGGTATGGCAAGCTGAACAATATCCAAGACAGACTGATAGCGTCTCGTCATAACTTTCGGAGATGGCGAGTGGTCTCTTCTGGGTCATTTGCCTGCGTGAGAGGGTGAAGTTTAGGAAGGCGGTTGTTAGCCATCATACGTCGGCTGCATGCCGAGACATTGGAGTGCTAGAGGCGCGTCGCCCGCTCGCCTTATAGAGCAGGTGGCGAGGCTTCAGCTGGGCGGCACGCCGTCGGCGTAGCTACCTTGCGGAGTGACACGCTGGGGCTGGAAGTGCGGCGGAGGGGTCTCGATTGGGTGTTACGGCGAGCTCGGCCGGATCGAGCTCCGGATCCTCAACGTTGCACTGTTTCCCAAGTCGGGGATCTTGGAAGTGTCTGGATACTAAAGGTAAGGCCAGGTCTTGGCGGCATCTGAGGCATATCGAAACCGTGCATATGTCCGAAGTCTCAGGCCATCAAGCTTGATGCCACCGGAGCATAGGATTGTGCGACTATGTCGTGACCATCATCGTATCGAGGTAGGACGTCCTGGATTCGATAGAACCCGATAGTATGTGATGTGATCCGGGACCCGAGTCACGAGTGTCCTAAGGCTACTCCCGGTTCCTGACGGCGTTTCCAAGTGACCGTCGTGAAAGGAAGGTGAGGAAACCACACCACCAGCTGTTTGTCTTGGCAAAAGTGATCTTGCAGCAGTAAAGCGGTAGTGCTGAAGAATCCTGGCAGAGATGGGAGCCAAGCATTTGTAGGTTCTTGGAATGCCGGTGGTTCCTGGCTGGGGTTGTCGAGTGTGGCAGGTCGGTAGAAGCGGGGAGGCTAGAACAGGTTCTGTAGAGGATGCCACCATTCTTTTGCAAGAAATCGTGACTGCGGCTCCAAGGAGATGCCTAAACTGCCTTCCAGAAGGCAACTAGCTTTGAACCTTCCCAGTTTGTCCGCTTCAGAGCCGCACCTTGATGGTCACCTCCCCCTTTCAGCAAGCGATGCCATCGTGGGAATTTTGGTGGCGGAGGTTGGGCGGTAGCCTAACGCATGGCCCAACGGCGAGCACACTCGCAGTGTGTTGTGTGACATGACTATTTCGGTCAAGGCTGTTGTTGTAGCTCTCGAGCTATTGAATGACTGCAGGCAGGGGTCAGTGCTGCACAGCCTGTGGTTGTGTCTGAGTATGTTGTCAATCGCTGTGGAACACTTGAGGTCCATCTGTTTCTGCCTATGATGAAGATCAATCGATGCTCCGTACGCAATAATCAGATGGAAGGGTTCTTGATCCATCACCCCACATCAGACAAGATCTCGGCAGCGGCACCGAACCTAGGATACTGCTGCTCTGCCGTGGCGAGACTCGGGGATGACAAGGGTGGTGTAAATAAAGAGGCTTAAGACTCCGTTGTCATACACGAATGCCTTGAGTCGATGTAGCGCCTAAATCTCTCGTGGTTTGTACTATTGCCTTTGATCCTGTCTTGGCTGGCCTGCACGACAGGACGAGTCTGGAAGGACGTTTGGAGAGCGTAGTGCGGGCTGAATTCCAGGGCCAAGAAGGTTTCCGCGGCTGGAGATTCCGTAGCATTGAACAGCAAAGACGACCAACTTGGGCACGCCGCAAGGTTGATCACGTACGGAGATCATGGGGCTGGAGTCTGAATCACTCGAGAGCTTGCTTCCCGCTTCTTGCTTGCTGAATTGTGCAAGACTTCTGAGTCCTGACTGACTGGAAAGAGAGGCAAAGGCCAGAGGTGACATTCGGGGAGTTGCCATCCCACCATCTCCGCTCCGAGAGGGCAGGGGCATTGGATCATGTCAGCATCGCTAAAGCAGAAGGACCCACTACCTTATCACGTTATCGGTGCCATGGGAAAACGCTCGGATCATTGGCTGCACCTACTACGGCTTGAGCCCCCACTTGCCGGCGGGAATTTCGGAGAGGCCCGCCTAAGGTGGGTACCTCAAGAGTACGTACTTCAGTACGTATCTCACAGCATGTGATACGGGGCTGTTACCGCTTCTAAGTACCTACCTTAGGTATCTTATCTCTTGCCGCCTGGGACTCCTCTCTTTTCTTCCATTTCATAATGTCACCGATCTACGGATATACTTCTTCAATTTTGGTAGCAATTATCCAATGTTCGAGATATCTTGCCGAGCCACAGAATCATGTGGCGTTCCCACTGCCAAGGATGCGGGGTTCCACGACTCGTGAAGGCTTGGACAGATGTCTCGGCCAACCCTATTCTGAGCTCTCCTTCGAACAAAGGTGCGGGTGGCTGCTGACGGCGTACATACAGGTGTTCGTCCTTTCAGGGATCTTGATCAGGAACCAGGGGTCTCCAACCAGTCTGTCCATTCAGAAGCCTAGAACACCCACAGCGAACACTTCACTCGCTCATCCAAGTACGGACACGCTGATATGCGCTGATAATTGCGTGAAGGTCCAAAATCCCTGGCAAGGACCTTTGGGAAGCCCAGCACAGGCCAACCTCTGCCGAGATATGCTGTAGACCAACCGGCTTATCTCAATATCCCAAAAGACCCTCCTCCGACCGAAAGAGGATCAGAGCTCTCAAGGGCAAGACAGCTTTGCTTGCGTGAGAAAGCTGCGGCCTTTGTTACGTGCTCAAAGCCTCAGTCAAGCTCGGGAGCTCTGGCCTTCAAGTGAGGGGCTCCGATGAGCTGCCTCAGGGATCTTCTGTTGCGCATGGTCTTTCCCCTCATATCCAGAGTCTCCACAGGAGCTCTGATCCTTGACATTCACGTCTTTCTGCGTTGGCTCCCTGGCTCTGTTTGCATTTTGCATGCAGTAAACAAGAATATGCGTCCAAGTCTACTCACCGCAATTAGGATAGGGCACAACAGATGGTTCTATGCCCATGCATTAGACAACGGCCCATACATTGCTCACTTGTTGCAGTTGGCTCTTAAGAGCCATGGCAGTAGGTAGACGCGGACGTCTACACGAAATTCCGTCTCGGAAGTACTCTTCGACGGGCCACAGACAACCAGCTGCGGGCGTATGCTGGCGCCAATATATCCGCCCTCGGCCGCCACATGCGATCCACCGTCGTGCAACGGCCACTTCGCTCTGAAATCAACGATGGGATTGCAGAAATTCACTCATCGGTGACACTTATCACGACTAATTCGCCATTTGCTACTTATCCTCCATCATTCCCTCCTGGGGTGCATTTTGGCAGCCCCCAATTCCCCCAGAACTTGTCTTCCCACCCCGATCGCCGACTGTCACGCTCCACGGCCAACTGCCGGATTAGGAAGGCGAGATATCTCACCTGGGGTAACATCGCCTTGACGCACGAGGATCAACCCTCCTCCGACGAACCAGAGCTTCGCCATGGCCTGCGATATCGTCTGCCACCCCGGACCCCCGATGCATCCATTTGAAGTTCAAGCCCTGTTTAGACATGGAGATGGGGAGCAAAAATGAAGGTGGTCCAGGATCCCATAGGTTGGAACTTTGGGGTTTGAGTGGGCGCTGAGGCCATCAACATCACCAACACCGACATTCACAACCTGCAAAGCGACCTTATACGCATCAGCTGCCATTATTTCGGGTCCTTAGGCTTTTTGTCTAGCATCAGGACAGAAAGGATGTCGTTTCTCGACCACCTTACAGGGGTCAGGCGCGAGAGCTCGGGAGTCCACAGCATCCTGAATTTATGCATAAAAAAGCCTTGGCACTGCCGTTCCGAGGACCGTACCGGACTCAGGACTGGACGTTGAGGTAAATTGCTAATTGCAATTAGTGTTCAGCAACTCGATCTTATTGGTGGCTTCTGCCTCAGACGACTCTCACCTTGTATTGCTCGAAGGATGGGTATTGGAAGACCACTCCAATGGACCTTGCAAATGCCGCTGTTGTCACTGCTGCATCTCCGTTTAACAGCGGTACTCACAGAAGTTGTTTATCGAGGCTCTATCCGCTTCTCTCCCGTGCCCGCGGGACGCGTATCTCTACTGTGCGGTTTGATCCGAGGAATTATTGCTTGTCGTCTTGTAAGTTTTGGTATCATTCAAAGCTTACTGGTTGTATCTAACCAGGTGATGACAGAGGGCTTGAGATGCCTGCAAAAGCTGTCTACCGCCCAATATCCAAAGTCACTTGCGACCATCTGATAGCTCTGTTGCATTGCCAAGCCGGCCTAGCATGCCTCCTCTCTCACCCAGCTTGCTGCGTCACCAATATCGCCGTCAATCAACTTCCTATTTTTGATTTTGTCGCACAAGCTTCAGAGATGGTTGGTTTATGTCGCCACATGGCGCCATTGGTACTCTCCTTCCCCTTTCCACGGACCGCATCGTCTTATCGACTTGGGTTCACTTGCTGTGCAACCGCCAGTGCAACTTTTGGCGACATATCCAAGTTTGACAGGTTCATCCCGACTTGGACCCTGCGGCGGTGGCTGTTTTCTGAGCAAGGGTCCGAATCATGTACTTACTGCTTCTCGAAGGGCGCCCCGGAACTCTGTCTGCAAGCAGTAATGCACCATCGAGGGCCTGGATGAGCCAGCCACTTACATGACATGCAACGGACGAACATCGAGCCTCACTCGATTTCAATGACGGGGAGGAAATCTATATAACGGCTTTCAACGACCCACGACATTCGGTCTCTTTTCACTCTTCACCCCTCATCCTCTCCTACAATCCCAACTCCAACTCCTGCATCTCGGTCTATCGACAATTACAATGGTCGGTTTCAAGCAACTCGCGCTGCTCGCAGCTGCTACCTGCGGCTTCGCTGCTCCCACTCTCAAGGAGAGAGCTGCCGAGACCATGGTTCAAACCCGGGCTGAGAACAGCTACATCATCACCCTCAAGAGCTCCGTCGGCTCCCAGGGCCTCACCTCTCACTTGAGCTGGGTCAACGATGTTCACTCCCGCAGCCTCGACAAGCGTCAGTTCACTGGCGCCGAGCGCACCTACTCCTTCAACTCTTTCCAGGGTTACTCTGGCAAGTTCGACGATGCCACCATTGAGGCTATCAAGGCCAGCCCTGAGGTAAGATTCGATGTTCTGACGTAGTTCGAGAGCCCACTTTAACACTATGAATAGGTCGCTGCCGTTGAGCGTGACGAGATCTACACCCTGAGCGCCCTTGTCACCCAGACTGGTGCTCCCTGGGGTCTCGGAACCATTTCCCACAAGACCTCCGGCTCTACCTCGTACATCTACGACAGCGCCGGCGGCACTGGCACCTTCGCCTACATCGTCGACTCGGGCATCAACACCGCCCACACCAACTTCGGCGGCCGCGCCTCGCTCGGGTACAACGCCGCCGGTGGTGCCCACACCGACACCCTCGGCCACGGCACCCACGTTGCTGGCACCATCGGCTCCACCACCTACGGTGTCGCCAAGCTCACCTCCCTGATCTCCGTCAAGGTCTTCGTCGGCAACTCCGCCTCCACCTCTGTCATTCTCGACGGATACAACTGGGCCGTTAACGACATCACCACCAAGGGCCGCGCCGGCAAGTCCGTCATCAACATGTCCCTCGGCGGACCCGCTTCCACCGCCTGGACCACCGCCATCAACGCCGCCTACAACTCCGGGGTCACCACCGTCGTTGCTGCCGGTAACGAGGCCCAGAACGCCGCCAACGTCTCCCCCGCCAACGCTGCCAACGCCATCACCGTCGGTGCCATCACCAGCACCTGGGCCATTGCTTCCTACTCCAACTACGGAACCTCCCTGGACATCTTCGCCCCCGGCAGCTCCATCCTGTCCACCTGGTACACCTCCACCACCGCCACCAACACCATCTCCGGTACCTCCATGGCCTCCCCCCACGTCGCCGGCCTCGTCAACTACCTCCAGTCCGTCGAGGGCCTCAGCACTCCCGCCTCCATCGTCGCCCGCATCAAGGCCCTCGGTACCTCTGGCAAGATCACCGGTACCCTCAACAGCTCCCCCAACCTGGTTGCCTACAACGGCAACGGCGCGTAAGCGTTTTCTCGTCAAAACCGGCAAATTCGTCAAACCGACCGAAAGCCAGCCGCGGAAGGCGAGAAGACGTTCTGCCCTTTCTGCCGGCCAAGAGCGCTCGCAGCTCGCTCACCTTTGTACATGGAGGAGTTGGGATTCCCTCATCAGAGATGAGCGGGGGAGCGCTGTTTCTTACGATGGAATGAGATGTTTATAAGACTTCGCTGCCTTGGGTTTGAACCTTGGCTCTCCCATTTTTGAGATTTGCAGGTGTCATTTTGGGCATATATAGTTGATAGGACAATAAAGAGGATGCATCTGAAAGTAATATTCCAAGTTGACATTGTGGTTTGAGGCTGAATGCACATCAATTGAGGTCATCACTGCAACGGTGATCAGGGTGACAAGCTTCGTCGTCTAGACTCACACCTCTTGGCAAACGGGATCCTTACTCAATGGGGTATTAATATCAACCGCATCTAACCCGGCCGCCACAACCGGGAGAATCACAATCCTTGACCGGCATTTCTTCCTTGTAATCTCGTATTTTCAGTCTTGGCAGTCGTCATCTCTTTTACCGTATACCTTACACCGTATGGTCGTACGTATGAGTAAGTAGCTGGAGACAGATTGCGACGACTTTAATATTATCCGGAGAGGGCGGTGGGTAAGGGCTTTCGCGGGGAAATAAGGATCGTCTCCCCCAGGTCCAAGGACTCGGGGTACCCCGGAGGCCGGTACGGCGTCTTGACTCCCACACTCCCAGCACACTCCATGCCGATCGGCAGAGCGGGACCTGACACGACCAAATGTTTGGACCCCATCGATAGGACTATGGAGTAATTCATCAAATGAGCATCTTCCTGAGCTTGGCGTGGATCGGGTCGATTTGTTGGATGAATTGAGGTTTTGTGTGCGCTCATAATTGCAGCCGGGAATGTGCCTTTCTGAACACTTGTTTTGTCTTGTTCTCATTGAAATCTTTTGGGATCAGAATAAGACTTATCGTCGAATCATCTCATTACTCAGAAGTAAGTCGCCGCTGAGTCTTGTCATCCAGTGGAAGCCGGATAATTTCGCCACGAATGGGACCATGTCGACTCATTTGTATGCATGTATTTAAAAATATCTAAAGAACATACTCTGGCATTGAAAGGCGGACAGCTTCCATGCCCGCGGAGGATCATTCGGTGACACCTACTGGTCTCTTCACTCTTCGCGGACCACCATTCCTCCATATCAGCAACTAAACCCCAGTGTATCAACCTATAGTGAGAAAATACCTCGAAACGAGTTTCAGCTGTACGTTGTCCCCCTTCCCTCCTAATTCCCTCCTAATAATCTCCCAGCCGCCTTGACTCCGTCGGATGTCATCCGACATCAGCTTCAGACCGGGTGACCCTCAAACCAAACTTTCTTATATTGATAAATGCGCTAGCTAGTGACGCTATGCCTGTTATAAAGTTGTAGAAATAATCTTTTCTTGGAGATAATCGATTGAAATTACAGCTAAGGCTTCAATGCCCCTGAGACTACTAGATTTGATGGATTTTATTCGTTCCTTCGATAATGCTTGTTAATATCTTCAGTGCTTCTGGTGAGAATGGTGCTTTCGGTGTAAGAATTAGCACATGTGACCTTTATGATGCTTAAATTCGAATAAAATTCCGTTGTATCAAGATCTGGTTGTTTACTGCCACTTTACGAATCGCGATCGCAGCCTTTGGCTGACTGGCTTGACTTGACAATACGCGTAACGCAAATAACTATCTCGCTAAAGAAATCTCCCGCTCCAGTTCCTTGTCACACATACATTAAGTAGATGACTCAAACACTTCCTTAAATCCACTCTACAAAGGGTCTCTGCCGATCAAGCTATGCTTATATTGTCTTACCGGGGACACCAACAAGCATGTCAGTTCTGCCGAGTCGGACCCGTTAACGCCGGGCTGAACGTACTGATTCGGAAGGGAAATTCAATCCGGCCTCAACTGCGACTGCAGTTCCAAGCTCCACAGTGTAGGTCAATATTTCTTCAGGTGGCTCACTCGAAGGAACGTGAGCTGAGTACTAGAAAGCGAAGCAGACGAAGTTAGCTCTCATTTTCTTGCTGTGAACCAACGCGTGTCTGGCTACTGCCCTAAGTAGTAGCAGTCTGGCACGAAGAGCGCCTACAGAGTGGTCGGGTAGTAACACTACTTTTCTTCCATTTCTACGAACCTGGTCATCTGGGGCTTTGATATCGTATGGTGGACAGCCCCGGCAGTAAGACTTTAAGTTCCGGACAACACGAGTCAATGTGAGAAGGAGGACTCTGCTGGATTATATTGGTCGATTCAGCTGTGCTGGCGACCCGGGCTTCTGGTTAGGTACGAAGCGAATGCGAGATGAGTACTATTCGGCAAACCCGATCGATTGCCAAATTTTCCAACCATCAACGACGGAGCTGTTGGCGGAGATTAAATAGAGAAGGCTCGCGCTGATGTTGAGCTTGAGTCTCACTGTAGCCTCCCATTATCCTCACACACGAGAACCTCACTTCAAGTCACTCATTCAACAAAATCGTCAGCATGCTCTTCCAGCCTTCTCAAGTCTTTCTCCTCGCCCTCGGGCTTCTGTCTGCCACCGCTACCGCCGCGCCTATGGAGGTGATGGAGCCTCGTGCCGAGGTCCTCGACATCGGTGCTTGCTTCAGCTCCAAGTTCACTTGCGCCTTCCAAGGATGTTTTGCCGGATACACTTGCTCTCAGCACACCGGCGGTACTGACTACTGCTGCGTCAAGTGGGGTTGTAAGTGATTGTGTCTCATTTGTGATTCAATGGAAAAGCTAATAGGTAGTAGAAACTACTCACTCAACGTATGGCTATCAACTTTGATGGCCCAACCAATCTTTTCGGCTATGCACGTAGTCTGGTTTTGGTTCCGACGATATGATAGAAGTAACCTTTCAAGTCAAATTATCTAGACCTGACGGAATAATTATACATTCATCGCGAAAGTGTCGGCGTCATGAACCAACCTCTCAACGGTAACACATTTGACCCAGTCAACTCTGAAGTTTGTGTCATTTTCTCATTCTGCAGTTTAAATCCCACTCCCATGCGTAACCTGTCATCAGACGATTTAAGGTCTTGCAATATCTCTGCCCGCAAGCCAGATGAACAACCAGCTTATTGAGATCATAATCTTCCTTCTCCAGCTCCTCGTCCAGCCTAGACTTCCAGAGCGCCAAGCCAACCATGCGCTCATCCCCGTCCACTCCTGCTTTCCACCAATGATACCGTCGTGGCGGCCTAGGTAAGCCAAGAGTGCTCTCTGTTTGTAGTTGAAAGGTACAGGATCGGCATTCGAGTTGAGAATGGTCGTGAGATACTCGCCTTTTTGCAGAGCTACCTCAGCCAGAGTGGGTAACGATTCACCCTCAATGTCGGCAGCATCACCGAGTGCGTACACATCGTTCATTGCACTTCCATCTGGATGCAAGACGCGGAGGTACTTGTCAGTCAAGATGCGAGGCAGGCCGCTCTCTGGCTTTTTGACAGGCAGCTTCTCAACCAAAGAGCTTGCCTTATTCCCTGTAGCCCAAATCAGGAGTCCGAACGGTAATCGGCCGTCCTCTTTCGTGAAGATTGCGTCGGCTTCAACGCTTTGGATGTGTGACCCGGTCTTAATTTTGACATGCTTTCCTTGTAACGAACTCGTAGCATACTCGCTCAAGTTTGCGTCAAACGTGGACAAGATCTTGGTCGCGACGTCGTGAATGGTGATGGTCACCTTGCCATCGAGGTGAGGAAATAGGAAACGCATGTCTTCGAACCAGAGATCCCAAAGCTCGGCAGCAGCCTCAATCCCAATAGCACCACCACCAACAATTCGAATGTTGAGATAGTCCCGCTGATCCTGCTCGCTTGTCGTGGGAAGAGACGCCTTATCGAGCATTTGGAGGATTCGCTGCTGTATCAGGCGTGCGTCGTTGGTCGTCTTCAGGAAAAGAGCATGCTCTTTCGCCCCCGGCGTGCCGAAGTCCTGAGTATCGCACCCAGGCGCTATGCAAATCTTGTCGTACTTCACTTCAAATGTAGTCGGGTTTTCGCCCGCGGTGGGTGCATCGGTCTTGCATCGCACTATCTGCTTTTCAAAGTCGATGTCTTCCGCAAAAGCCTTGTAATAGTCCATTTCCGTCCTGTGCTTCCGCCTGACCGGCTCTTCTGCAAGACGGAAGTTGAATAGCCCGCATGCTGCGCTGGCCAACAACGGGGTGTACTGGATTGTTCGAATTGGAGAAATGACCTTGACATCGTATTTCGTCAGGTCGACTTTTTGGGTGAGGGTGAATCCACCCCAGCCGGTGCCAATGACAACGAGGACTGGTTTCGACATGTTGAAATGTGCTGCTCTACCATCTGGATCAAGCTGCAAAATTGCTCCGCCGCGCAATGCGATATTTGACCGACTTCTTATGTTTTTCTCAATCCTTGCTTCATCCGGAATGAAACTATCAACCTTACGTCACGGGCCCCAAACTGTCAGCGTGCGGCATGGCAGTTGCGGTTTCGTGGGCTCTTCGGACAGGAAACGTCATCGATTTTCGGAGACTAGGGAATGTAGCATCGCCTACCTGGGGGGAAGCTCGGAGGTTTGACACCTTGGTTCGGCCAAATATTACTGGCTGGAGCTGGCTGCCGTAGCTTGGTCCGAACCTAGACAGATGCCGGGAGATCTCCGCGTTCCACCCGGGCCCACTTCTTCGGCTGGATTGGTCCGGTCAATGATGGACGGGGTCTAGGGCTCATCTAGAAGCCAACTTTCCCAGAAATCTTGCTGCATGGGCTGCTTGTAGGTTTGTCGAGATTGCGGGGAAGGTTTCTTGCTAGCTTGGCATAGTTTCCGGGAGGACGTCTTCATTGGTGGTGATTTGGTGATTGATAAAAGTTTACAGTATAAGTTCTACAGAGCTCGTGTCTATAGGCCTTCGTCTCCTTGGGACGGGATTGTCGGATGCATGTATTCAGCTTCTGCA